CAAACCAATGAGTGACAACACGATGACTACGTCCGCTTCTTATATACAGTCTATTGTTGGAACCATGCCTGCTTAGTGTGTGGAGTTTCAGAGAATCAAATGAAGGAAGTAAAATGCTGCAATGGAAGTTGCTTCATTGTGATTTCACAATGATTGTCTCAGGAATAGCAACACACCCACACAAGTTCTTCTGAAATGCTGTGACTTAAATGTCCCATTAATAGATTTCACTGAGAGAAGTAAAGCAGCGCTCTGATGATGCACACATACACCTACACTGAAATGATCTCCCTCAAAATGCTTGGATCATTTTCAGAGACTGGGTGGAGACTGATTTTGGAGACTGACATTTGATTCACATTAAAGGAACCTCATAAACTGGTTTAAGTCCTATTTATCAGATTGTTTTCAGTTTGTTAATGTCAACAATTAATCCTCCTAATTCCATTCCTCTGGGGATTATTATTAGGAAACACTCTCAAACTTTCATTGTTATGCAGAAAATGCCCAATTATATCTATTGATCAAGCCAGATGAAACCAGCCAGTTGGGTAAACTCTAAGCACGCCTTAAGGCAACGCATTCTTACTCCCAACTCGTCAAATGCTGACGCTTGGTCAGTGGCCCGACGCTTCAAACTCTGACGCTGTACGAACCCCTCTAGCGTCCGCTTTGGACGTGACAGAGGCGGCGTGTCAGTTTCCACTCGCTACATGAATAGTGTCTTTTTAAAATATATTTCGGTCTTCACAGAAAGTTAGATTTAGGCAATAAAACCCACTTAGTGACGTTTAGGGAAAGAGTGCGGAGGACGTTGACATTTATACTATTCATCAGTTGCTGTGACGGTCTAATAATGATGCAGGAAGGACGTGTCATCATCAGCTACAGGTCACAGAAAAGACACAAAAAGCCCCACAGATCACCGCCTGCTTCCAGAGAGCAAACACAGAATGATGCGACTGCTGGAATTAATCCTAATTTCTGTGCTTCAGTTTGAAGGTAACTGCTTTAAGTGTTTATCTTTTTTACAAAATGTACATTTTATCTGACTGTGATAGAACATCCATACCAAGGGAAATTCTCAAAACTTGTCATAAGTGCTTAAGTGCTTAAGGGCAGATCTATTAACAAAAGTAACAATATAATTGTAAATTCAGCAACATGAGCTTCCTTTTAAACTCAGTCCATCTCACTGAATATTAAGTGTGTGTTTCATCTGAATGCATTTAACTCGTTCACTTGCGCATAATGATAAATGTTTATAAAAGATAACATCAGAACATTTCTTTAGCGAAGCAGTGTGACATTTTGGGAAATGTGCTTATTTGCTTTTATCTTAAATGCTCATGTCTGCACATTAAATATGGATATATGAGCCAGAAGAAGGTTAGCTTAGCATAGCATGAAGACTGGAAACAGGTGAAAACAGCTGGGCTGTCCAAAGGTAACTTTATTGGCCTACCTGCGTCTTTATCTTCTTTTATTTTATCCTTTATTAAATTGTGGTTGCACACCGCACTATTTCCTGTGATGGGGAAGTAGCTTTCTGGAGTGTTATCATCACGGCGAGGTTGCCAGGCGACCACCAGTATTACTGTAAACAACAAAACTTTTTCTTGTGTCGTAAAAAAAAAAAAAAAAAAGTTATTATGAAATATTTACTGTATTCAAATAATTGAATGTGTAAATTGTCAGTAATAAAAAAACAAATGTACCTTTCTTTCCAGCTTTGATCAGTGGACAGATAATCTACAAGAGACCCAGAGAAGATGCCGTTCTGCCCTGTGCCATTGCATCCTCCTCTGGCCCAACCTGCCCCATCGTTTCATGGTTTTACAACAGAGAGCCGTCTCAGGGTCCCTCTCGGGTTGAGATCGGAGATGTCTCAGTCCCAGCCGCCAGGCTGAGTGTGGACACGACGTGCTCTCTGGTCATTAAGAGCGTCACCGCTGAGGATGCTGGTCTCTACATCTGTCGGCAGAAGGGGAGAGTTAGTGAGAACGTGTACCTCAATGTTCTTGCAAGTGAGTCCATGAAAAGCCGTTTATAGTATTACTTTGTTTAACAACGTATCCATTTATGATTCTGTTCTTGTCTCTTCTGAGCCAATGCTGTCAAAAAGGGAAGTCGTGACATTCAGCCTTCAACTACTAACTCCTAACAGACGGAGGCAGACAGAGACACTAGACATGAGCTTATGAATCTGAAGACACAACACAATGTGTTTAAGGCCACCTGGCAAGGGTTAAAATAAGTATAATCCTAATCTGAACTTCAATCTCTTTCTCTGTCTGGACAGCCAGCTGGAGATCAGCATTTACAAATGTGAACCTCATTTATTGCACAACAACTCTCAATAGATAAGCTCCCTCTTTGTGAATTCATAACCAAAAACCCATGAACACCATTGACTTTAAGACAAGGGAACCAGATAGGACTTACTCCTGCAGCTCAGCTCAACTCAGTCAAACAATTATCACCGAAGACGAACAGAAACTGCAGGGTCTTGTAGTAAAGTCGCTAACATTCTTTCATTTCCTCCCAGTCTCTCCATCCCCACCAGACGCTGATCCAAAGAGGGACGGCAAAGTCACATTAGAGTGCACTCTGTGGAGACACAGCAGCCTCCGTCCCTGTCGACTGGACGGCCTCAACTGGCTGGATGAGACGCGGACCCTGCTGCGACGTAGAGGCCCCGGCTACCATTTCCGGGGACAGAGAAAATGCGTCTCTACTCTGACTGTGAATCGTCAGAGCGACCACAACAGGAGATACACCTGCCAGTTCGTTGATGACAGACATGTGGTGATAGAGGCTGAATACACACCTGACTTCACAGGTGGGACTACATCTGATCCGGGTAAGATAACATGCAGCCAAAGGTTTGCCTCTTTGTTTCTCAGATGTTGGAGCTTTTGTTCTGCAGGATATTTAATGTTGTTCTTTTTTATTAACTGACTTGTGTTGAACATAGACACAGATCCACAGGTTGGTCTCCTCTGAGCTACATCATGTTGTAAACCTGTTTTCTTATTTAAATCTTTGTCATAATTCAACACAGAAATGTGTGTTGTTGAGACATGAATGATAATAGCTGTCCCCATGCAGG